GGGGGGGGGGGGGGGGGGGGTTAGGAGGGCATGACAACAAATTCGTAATTCCTAACTAAACTGAGATCATTTAGAATTCAGAGATACATCCCTTCTTAAGAAAAATCTAATACATTCTAAGCTGACAAAAGTGGAAAATAAGAAGAATACTAAAACCAAAAGTTTGCAAATACCAATACAAAATAATTCACAAGAGAATTTCTTGAAAATAATATCCCAAAGCTTTTACTGTTTCTCTTGATTCTGGACTGCCTAAGCTCGGGTGGAACATAAAGGTGATGTCAGGTTTGCTCAGAGAATGGAAGATCAACAGGAAACAAAAGTCTCTCTAGTTTCAAAGGCAAAATATTAATCTGTGAACAGAGTGACTGATGAAATGTTCTGCACTTCACAATGTGAGATAAACAAACCTAGCCCTCCTCTTCTCTTCTTTATTCTCCACTGATGGGCACACCATTGCTTTAGGCATTGTGAACCCTCCTTAACCAGCCCCATGTCTGCCAGATTGACTAATGTATTTTTATCTCAAATTTATTTATGTTTAGTGAGATACAAACAAGTAAAATGAATTACAAGTTTCAAGAATAATATCTTCCAAAAGCAATACTCTGCACAGGCATTAAGACCCAAATTTAATTTTTCATATAAGATAAATTTTTAAAATCAATCCCCAAAGTAATTCAATAGGTTCTGATCTTCCTCCATCTGAGTGGTAGATAAATGTGCATATGCACACTGAGTTATATGTGAGGAGGGAGGGCTGACAGGCATGTCGGCCTCACATCCATATTGATTTGTATGCTACTGACCATCACAAGGAAAATTATGCTGTTCTTCGATACAAATGTATCAGCATTAGCATGCATGTATTGACAGACACTCTACCTATAAATTAAAGGATAAAACCTATGGGTTCTTTTAAAGTGGTGGGCAATAGCAGAATTAGGCTTATTGGAAGAACAAGGGTGAGGGAAAGGGGACAAAAAGGTTGACCCTGTATTTCTTGTTCTAATAAGGACACAGCACTGGCTTTGGAGTCAGTGGACTAAAGGTGTCGAGTTTAACAGTTTGCTGACAGTGTGACTTTAGTGGACAAAACTGTCTAAGCAATGAGAACAGCCTGAGTCCAGAACACAATGATGATGTGTATAATCTACACAAGGGACATTTATCAAAAGGAAATACCAACTCACTGAAAGCTAGACTAGCAATCATTGTATGTACCCTAGTAGGCACCAAATAAAGTCATACTTACTCAGTTTTTAAGGTAATGAATACAATTGGTCTAATGTTTAACAAAACAAACATATGTAAGCTTCCACAGATCAAAGGTCTGCATTGTAAGATAATAAAAAATGGACTAACTGGGTAAGTCTGAGGGGGAAAGCTCTTACCCAATACCAGCCTTAGATATTTTTTTTCAAACTGATTACATCAGAAGAGCAAAGACTCTAGCCTGCCAATAGGAGACACAGAAAACATTCAGTGGGAGGGCACCCCTTACCCAAACTTGCTGCCAAGAAATAGTGTTCAGCCTGGGAGACAATGGTCAGATTTAAAATACAAGCCAGAAAGTTCATTGAACTTTATAATATTTGGCTTTGGTTATAATCTGTACTGACATCTAAGGATCTATCATCACTCCTGAGAAGAGCATAAACCCTCAAATTAAGATCTCAAGGGCAGACAAAGAGACTTTGCTTGAGGAAGTCTGGTGCTATATACCGTAGAGCAATAGCAGTAATTAACTAGGAAGCACAGTAGCAGACAGCAGAGAGGGGCTTCCTCAGCTGTAAACGGATCCTTTACTTATACCATTCCAGGGACAAAGAAAAGTGATACATTGCAGTAATCCTAAAAGCTTCACTTAATTTAAAATAACCAAAAAATTTGTGAAATACAAACCTCATGGAAATGCTCTAAGATATCAGGTCTCATTCAGAAAATGGTAACAGTAAAAATCAGGGTATTACTTTATATATAAATAATCCCATATAATACTCCTGTGTGAAATTAAGAGAAAAGATAAAACAGAATGGGACAAAAATCTAGGAGGCAGATTTACGGCTGTTCACTGCAGCGATAGAGTATGTCACGAGACTGAAAACAGGAGTGCTCCTCTCATCCCCACCACCCTCTGCATGAGCCCCCCGAGCAACATGAATCCCAATTAAAATGTCTGTAGTCCATAAATTGGGATGAAAATGCTCCTTGGACTATAGCAGTTTTCTAAACTCCAGCCTCAAGATTCAACACCATGCAACGTTTCCTTCAAAGAAGAAATTCAGCCTCTCTGCCTCAAACATATGTGATTATGAACGACAGAGCAGTTAATGGTGGCAAACAACGCCATCACTAAATACTGTGCTGTCTTAAAATCCACATACTAATTATGGCATTCTTTATACAAAGTCACAGGTGGATCACTTAAAAGACACCTCTCAAACATTATTAATAAAGAAAAAAGAGAAGGGGGAGGGGAGAGAGAAGGAGGGGAGGCCCATACCAGACTGCCATCTAAATCTTGACAGGTGAGGAAACATCCCGTCATCTGACTGCACTCAAGATCTCAGGTACGAGGTCTGCCATCTGGTATCCTTCACCCTACTCGGCTCTTACCATCAACTGAAATGCTAACATAGGCAAGTGACTGTACCTCAGGAGGACTGATAAAATAATGAAGAGTCCTTTAATCTACAGGAAACCATTTTAGTCAATTTATAAGAAATATTGCATCCCTTTGTAGGACGTGTAATTATTTTCTATTAATCATGTGCTCTAAAGCTACATTATGTGGTTATTCTGTTATCACTAGAAAGAGGCCTGCAGTCAGCTTCTGACAATGTTAGGTAATTACTAACACAAAGCTGCTTTCTGCTCCTGCAGTAATGCTATCAAGATCCAGAGGTGTGGTGATGCTTACTGTATCAAAACAGCACTCAAAAGGAACTCCCTATCAGCGGAATGGATGGCTTCCAGGCAAAATGTAACGTGGCAGTCACAGCAAAAAAAAAAAAAAAAAAAGTCAAATTCCCCTAACAATCCGGGAAATAATAGTAAGATGGCAACAAGCACTCATAGTCTGACTCCCACATCACAACTGTCAAACCTCTGAAGTCATCTCATTTGTTTTTGTTTACAGTTAACATTTACTGGGCGATAATCAACACGACTGTGCAGCAAGGCTGGGGAAAAGGACCGATTTTTTCTAACACAATCGTAAAGACATGAACGCACCCAGTCTTCCTTCTCTTCCAGTGCAGTGTTTTAAACTTAAATAAGATTCCCAAGTTCAGTGAGATCCTTTTCAGTGCCGGACCCTCCCTTGTTGAGTGTGTTAATCCACTTTCCTTAAATTAGACAACAAATAAATGCTGCTTCATAGAAACCAAGCACTGCCAGGGTCTGGGGATGGGCCACGCTCTCTGTCACTTACTGACCTCTGAAGGTAACAGGTGCTTCAGATAGATACTGGGCGGTCACTGTGTCCTTTGTCTAAATCTACATCCCATGCTTCAGAACATGCTAGCCCTTTGTGAAATGAAAGTAACTTCATCCACAAAATGTTAATCACAGTGACTTTAAGAACCAACAGGTTTATTTTATTTCCCACATATTCACTATGGTGATTATTCCTAATAGTAGCGACGTGAAAGTTAATGCAGTAAATATATAAAGGCTTTCTTCAAGTTTACTGTGTGTGTGTGTGTGTGTGTGTGTGTGTGTGTGTGTGTGTTTAGGAACTTGCATGAATCCTTCTTTTGCTCATCATGTCAATGGTTCCCTTAGCAACACAGAGCCTTGACATCCATGGTGCTGTGCCGTCTCTTCCTAATCTCCCTGCTAAAGGAGGAGATGGGTGCAATCCCCATGCCTCTCCATGATACCCGAATCCACTACTGGGAGATGTTTCCCAAGGCTCTGCTGCCTTTGCAATGGCTGTGGCATCCAGTTCCCCAGCTTATCACTTCCTACTGAGCTGTGACCGAATTACATGTTTCTTCACATTTATTTTTCTAAGAATCGTTTTCCAAACATCCATGCATGCACAGGGAGCTTGTGTGATCTCAAGTGTGTGGCTCCGGCCTGCAGCAGGCTGCTGGCTAGTGTTTTCCAAAACACCCAATGAGATTCTCTGTCTGAAGAGCTTCCGCCTGATCTGCAGGAAGAAAGCTATCTGTCTCCTTTGGAACCAGGACCCCTACTCCATTTCTCTGAAGAAGTAAGTTGAGTTGGATTAAGCACTGACAAGGTCGGGGCAGAACCCTGCTCAGGGGCAGCTGACATCTCAGGGGAGCCATCTGTGGGGCTGTCAGCTCCTCCCCATCTTGAGCTCATCTCCTGCCCTCCCAGTCCTCCCTGTACATGAAGCAGGGAGTTGTG